TCCATTGCATTCCTGTTACGTTAAAGAGTTGTTGCAGTTTACTGTGTTTGTTGTGTTAGACAAGAAATAATCTACATTGAATTTTTAGCCACATGGAGTCTGTACAGTGCTGTTCTCCACTGAACCAGCAGCACATACTGAAGGGTGAAAAAGGAACCTATCCAAGTCAAACTGCAGGAGGCATATAAGCTGGAAGTAGACCAGGACACCAGGGCTAATTTCCACTGTCCTATAATAAGTACACGATAACTTTAATGACCACAAATGGTCAAAATCCCTGTGTCATGTCTTATCCGACTGAATGCTGACAGCTCCAGTGAAGCCATCCATTAACACCATGCTTGTGCACTCAGGATTGACTCTGGAGGCAAAGACTGCCCACCAGAAAAAGGAAAGGCAAAGCTGTGGTTTCTTTTGTTGCCTTTCCTAAACAACTATTTATTTCCTATGACCCTGAGCCTGAAAAAACAAGGTAAACAGATATGCTCTGATAGGTATTGAACCAGCACATGCCTAATTTTATGTATCATAGTAGCAACAGTGAACTCAGAGGAAAAAAAAAAGAAAAAGAAAAGGGAAAAAAGTACATTTAGTAAATAAATGCTACTAAAATTATTTATCCTTCCCCAGCTTCCACTCATTTATGGCTCAGAGATTTTCTGAAGAGTTTGCATGTTTATACTTAATAGCTATGAATGGATTGAACCTGTTTGTTTCAGTTTTGAATCTATGCCAACTTTCAGCACCCTTAATGACCTCTGAAATGGAGTTCCATTACTTAAGATGTGAATATGAAAAAAACCATTCCTAGGTTTTGAACTTCCCTATTAGTTTCACTTGATGCTCAGCTCCTACATGTAAAGAAGATACAGTCATCCTCCACTTACCTTTTTCATGTCATTCCCAGTCCTGTAGATCTCTATCAAATTCTCCATCAGCTGATTCTTACTCCAGGCTGAAGAGTGTCAAATTTCCTTCATCACATGGAAGCTGCTCCACCTTTATCACTCTTCACATATTCCCTCTGAAATGGGAACATGAGAATTACTCATAGCACTGAAGAAGCAGAATAAACCTGAGCTCTGCATAGAGTCATGTTTTCCAATTTGTCTTCTATTTCTTTCATAATTATTCCTAACTCAACTTCTGTGTGTTTTTTTCTGACCAATTCACCTGAAGTCAATGGAGTTGGGAATTACACAACTTCTATTATTTAACATTATGCCCAGTTATCCCCACAGCAACTACCAACATTGATCATGTCAATTCCGTGATACCTCTGGTTCTTTTAAAAGACATTGCCTGCTATTGGTGATTTTCAACTGTCCAGCTAAGTTTTCAAGACATTATTTTCACATAGAACATGATATCAAACTCTTCTATTTATCTAAATATGAGTTGTCAACTAGTTCTGTCGGTATTTTCTGTAGGAAATAAGAGCAGACCCTCACAGAAAAGCTTGGCAAGAGTGAAGTTTGCTGTTACCTGGAGAAACTGGGGCTAAAACTATTTGCTATGGACAAAGACAAAACCTTTGGGGACCCTGATGTAAGCAAAAATAAGTTTGTCCCCTGTCCAGACAAATACAGAAAATCTCAACCAATGGCTAATTTAACTTAAAATATTAGATGAACTCTGAAACTGAGGGGAAACAGTGACAGAGGTGTTGAGAACCCAGAAAAGTGAAATGGAATTTACCTTTTATCACCAGCAGGCAAAACCATCAGAAGCAATATGAATTTCATAAAAAATCCTAACACTGACTCAGTCAGCAATGCAGTTCTACCAGCTGAACAGCATTGTCTCTGATTGTCCACCTCAGGTAAGATTTTACCATTACAGGTAAGATTTCAAATATTCTTCTTCTCACCTGGGGAAAAAATAAGGTTATACATGTGCTACAGAGAAAACAGTCTGAATACAACAGAGCTAGTTCTATGCCCATCAATGTCAAAAATCACCTGTAAAATCTTTATAACCAAAAGGAATTTCTAAGAAAGAAAGAATGAACATCATATTTGGTTTCTCACAATCCAGACTGGATTTTTAAGAACTGAAGAAAAAAAAAATAATCTAATCTAAATAAATAGATTCAGAAATCAGTACATCTAAGAAAAAACATGGCCACACAGTTCTCCATAATCCAGACAATGAAAACATAAAAAGGTGCTCTAATAATTAATTTTATAAAAATCAATTAATAAAAATTTAATTCAATGGATTATGAACTTCCTTTTCTTTCCAGATTTATTTGCAGTCCACAAATGCTTGTCAACAAGAGTACATAGAGACACGCTAGGACTGGGCAGAGAAAAGAGGTGGCAGCTCTTGTTTAGATTCATGAAGGTAATGCTCATATGCTGAATCTCATTTGGAAGCCATTCACAAGAATTAAGGTAGAAGATAGATATGCCATATATATATTTATAGAACATCAAGATATAGACATAAAATACATAACAAAAAGGCTGACATCAGGACAGATGGCTGGTTCTTACATTTTTGCCAGGATATGCATCTTCTCTTCAATTACGACTAGATTTGTCAAGTTCTGAATATATATTCACATAAAATTGTTACATCCAATCACATAATCAAAACTGTGCTACTAATAAGAAAAATTACATTAAAATAATTTTAAAATATTCTTGCTACAAATCTTTATGTATTTCTATGCGTATCTTCTGAAATTTAAACGCAAGTCAGAAGAGCAGGGTGGGAATCTGCATTTCTATATGTGCATGATCTATGCAATAGACAGGCTGATTTTGAAAGAGTCAAATTATGATAGAAAATACACTCTAAATAAAATAAAAATACATTGCAAATAAAAAACAATATAAAATTATTTCAAAGACAAAATGCAAACAACATGCACCAGAGTTTCTGTAATAAATTGGAAATTACATAACATGAAAAATACTATAATTCCTTGATCTGACCCTAATTCCACACTGATATTATCTCTTTTTAGTGATTATATAGAAGCCTACATAGCAAATACTATTTTCTATTCTTCATGTTATATAAGAATAACAACTACACAAATCCTGGAAATGGATTTCACCATCCTTTCAGTAAAATTTTGTATATTCCCAGAAATATATTTAGGAAATAATAAGGCAGTTTTGAAAAATCTGCAAAGAGGCACATAATTGGAGTACATTAAATTACTTTGGTGGAGGGGATACCACAGGAGAACTCAAAGGTGGATGTTTTTCTGAAGCTAAGTAACAAAGATGACTAGAAGGCACGAGTATATAGTTAACATTAACTCTTTCCATGTGAAATTTATCCTATATTTTATCAGGAAAGCAAATGATAGCATTTTTTATTTCTGTGTTATACTGCCCTTCTGTAAGCATTCTTCCTATTCGATTGCACCATCTGGTTGGCAATTTGCCTATGTGTCCTTCCTGCTTTCTTGGAAACTAAGTGTGGATGTGCTTAGGAAAGAAATGGGAAACATTGCCTCTCAAGGAGTTGCCTGCCTGCACCATTTTAATTCTGCTCCCATTCGTGCCCCTTTTCTTCCATGTCATCTCCATGTTCCTGATTCCTCTGGCCATGGACTGGGTTACTTCCAGTAGCGGTGATACCAAATGTTTAAATTTCAAACAGCGTTCTAAAGAAATGCTTCCGTGTACTCCCTCCACAAATAAAGGCATTTTAGGGTTGGTTTATGTGGCTGTATTTAAGGTGCACAGCACCACTCTATTTTAATATGCCTTGATGTATCTGGACACATGGTTCTTCCCACCCTCTTTCTCTCCATTTTTGAACAATTTATATTTTGTAACTAGTAACTAATTTTCCACACATTTTTCATTTTTATTTTATCTATAAGGTCTTACATCAAAACGCTAGCCATTCAATATAAGAACACCATATGATAAAGCACCAAAAAAAGTGCCTTTTAAAACACTTTATTTATATCATGAAGCAGTGTCAGCAAAAATGTGGCCCTGCTTCCTCTACAGCATTCCCTCTAACCATGAGACAGTTGTGCTGGAGGCTTTGTACAACTAAGGACCTTTACTAGGACTACATGAAGTGAGTGCAGCTCACAGTTCATTGCCCTCTAACAAACCTTGGAAGAAACCAGGTACTATTATCCCTTGTTTTAGGTTTGCCATATTAGAGGCAATAATGTCATCCAAGTATAACACAGGAAAATGAGAAATATCCAGGAATTCCACCCTTTTGGAGGGTAAACATAACTGGGAGCATGAAAGGTATGTTGTGCACATACCTGTTGCCATCTGCATGGGTCATAAATGGGCCATATATGGGCAAATACACCTTTTCTTCCAGTAGAGGTCAAGAGCTCTAGAAAATTTTGGTCTCAGAAACCACAGATATTAGAGAAGTGATTTGATGAATGTATTAGTGAGGATCCAGATGCAGAGATTTTATTGAAATATCTATGTTTTCTTACCCAGGAATTAACTGCACATCTGGAAAGAGTTCTCCAGAGTAGCAAGAAGCTGTTTAAAGGCTTAAGGGTGAACCCATAAGCCAATAGAAGTCTTAGATAGGAGACATGCACTAATACAGAATTCAAATCCTTCAGAATCTCAGCTCAATTAGCCACTTAATCTCACAATTAATGTACCGTGGCTGCCAACCTCACAGCTATCAATGGTTCCTCCATGTAGAGCTCCTTACGTACATGAGGGTTTACATTTGGGCAAGGACTGGAAGCACTCCCTCTTCTCGGTGCTGATAAACTCAATGCTCTGGTCAGACCTTAATCCTCACTGGATTCATAAGTATTCCTCTGCCTCCCAAACTGCCTTCAATGGATGCTCATCACCTGTCTAATTAGGTTCCTTACAAAATATGGAGTTAGAAGATCATGGGATGGTAGCACACCTTTGTGTTTTGAACACCTACAAACACCTGTGACATTCCCACCTCAGTGACTAACGAGTGCCAGCTGCTCATTCTGTATGCATTGATCACAGCATCCTTCTCCCTTTGCCTCCTCTTTCTTCCCACCTTCACTTCAAGTATTGCAATAAAAATTGCAACCCACAGTCATACATAGAACCTACCCATTCCATTTAGAGCACTGCAAGAATGTGATGCTCTGTGAGAAGAGCAATTTGTGATGCTGAATTTAGTATGAGTAAGGAAATCCCTGAGATTATAGAGTTCGTCAGAGCAAGCTTTTTCCCCATTCTTCTCAAATGTCATCTTTGACCCTCATCTTTACACATGATACTCTGTGTGTCTTGAATCTCCCTGCTCTCCTGCAGAACAAACTCTCTAACTGCTGCCTGCCTCAGCAGCAGTCTCTTCTCTTTTCTGAGCCATTTATGACTTAATTTGGTGCCACAAAGTTTGCGGACTATTTCTTTAACTGTCTCCTTGATACCTTGACATAAAATAATCATGAAAATTGGAAACTTTTTAATGGGAAATGCCCCTGGATTTCCATTAAAGTGCTTTTGGTTATGCCAAAGCAATGCCATTGGCCAAAATCAATAAGTTAAACATTGTTTTGTTGCAGTTCTGCCTGTGAAAGCTCTTAATACTGAAGGCATGTCAGTATTTTAAACCAGATGCAACATCTATATTTACATATACAATAGTCCTTAAAAATCTTCTGAGCACAAACAAGTTTTCAGCATAAAAACAAGTATTTACCATAATTAAGATACTCACAGTGTCTCAAATATTCTGCCTTCCAACTACTAAGACATACTTCAGTATCCAATTGCGAGATCACTGCAGCAGTTAGTAAACCATGACTTTTTAATGGGAAACCCTGTACATGTTAAAAAATGATACAGTTCCCAATCTTATGTAACTAAAGATATCTTATGCAGATTATGAAGATTTAGAAACCTCTGAAAAACAGATGTGCCAAGCAACCCACTTAAAGGAAGCATATATTGAATTTATTTATTAATTTATACAGTGCCCATCTCAAAGCAGAGTCTGGAATCCTGCACAAAATAAACAAAAATTAAACCAAACTGGGCTCAGAGCCAAGAGAAATCAACTGCATGAATAAAATGGGGAGGGTGAAAGAAAACTATTCCAAAAAGATATATACATGTCTCCAGATACTGGGCTGTCTTGTGGACATGTCATAATATCAATACTGGAAGTAACAGAAATACAATTTACAGCAAGGATAGAAATATTCAAGAAACAAAAGAGAGCAATTATGACAGAGTTAATTTACAGCTATTGAAAGCCACAGCACAGAGGCAATTACATCAGAGGAAATACAAACTGTGTAAATTTTGAATGAAGATTGAGTACGTATACTGTCACACAACATCTATAGGATTTCAGCTCCAACTATTGATCATATTGCATTTCATTCTTTGATTGAAATATTTAAACAGTAAGAAAACATTGCAACTGCTGTGGGAGAGCTTTTGAGTGGGTATTCTCTCAAATATATGAACTCTATTCTATTACTGTCCTCCTTCCCATATTTTATTTATAACACATCAGGGTTTTTAGTCCTTTTTTACAATTTTGATGACTTAGATGAATAATGATGAGGTAGCTGCCTAAATACAGAGCTGCTATGAAGAAATGCCTTTGAGATCTAGGGAGAAAAGAGAAGGAAGCAGCACATTTTATGTTCAAAAGGCACAAAGACCAGACCACACAATTAAATTGGCTTTTGGCTGTGTATCCTCTCCCGATCACAGAATGGGTCATGTTGGAAGGGACCACACCAGGTTATCTGGTCTGACCTTCCTGCTCAAGCAGGGCCAGCCCACAGCACAAGGCACTGGGCTCTGTCCAGGTGGGGTTTAAATATCTCCCATGAGGGGTGACCACACAAGGTCTCTGGGCAGTCTGCTCCTGTCACCCTGAAAGTGGAGTTTTCCTGATATTCAGGTGGAAGGGATGGATATCCTGTGTTTTAGTCTCTGCCCATTGCCTCTTGTCCTGTTCCTGGGCCCCACAGGCAGAGCCTGGTCCATCCTCTGATGGACACAAATAAGATCCCCTTGAGTCTCCTCCAGGTTAAACAGGCCCAGCTCCCCCAGCCCAGAACTGGATACGGGACTGAGCGAGGATCAGGATCTCCTCCCTGACCTGCCATCAATGCCCTTCCACATGCACCCAGGATCTCCCGGCCTTGTCCCCCAGAACATACTGCTGGCCAGGGATGCTGGGCTGTCCACCCTCCCTGACAGAGTTGTCTCCCAGCAGCTCCCCACCTGGACAGTGATACATTCCCTCTGGAATTCCCTGTTTGCTCCAGCATGGACACCCTTTGGCCTGGATACCCATGTTGAGATCCATTTGGTGGCCATAAGTCCCCTCAGGCCCAGAGTGGCCCAGCATTGGCCGGAACATGGAGGCCGCATGAGGGGCAGAGCCCTCACCAGCACCTGCTGGTTTTGGCTCTTTTTTCATTATTATATTATTTTGTCCATACAGTGAGCTTTACAACCATTTTTTTTCTGACACCCCATCTCCTAGGACACCTACCCCAGCATCAGTCCTGCTGGTGACACACAGAATTTTATGAATTTTTACACTGAAGACATTTTCAGTGACTCCCGTTCTCTCCAACTTACTTTTTCAGAGTCTCTGTCGAAACAATCCTCTCCTTATAAAACTAATGAAAACTTTAGCAACAGGTTCAGATTCCTTTGCCAAGAGACAGGATTTCAAAGTGAGATTCAACTACCAAATCCCAATCAGAGAAGAAAAAGACTTTTTATTCTTCACTTAGTGGTTTTGAACTATTTATAACTAGGCAAAGTTTTACTGAAGGTGAGTGGTACAATAATACATCTGAAAATATCAATGATGTTAAAACCCTGAGAAAACGTAAATACATTTGAGACATGGAAAAAAGTATATCTATAAATACTTGTAAGGATGGACAGTAATCAATAATGTGTGGCCCTAACTCAATTAATTCATCTTGTATTGCACATAATACCAATATACTGAGAAACGCTATTCTGAAAAAAACAAAATTGCTTAAAAAGTTTTTTGTTCAAATATTTTCAATGCCTTTGTACTTCATTTAGCATTTTGAAAGTTGCTAACTAAATTATGTAGCAGTAATACAAATTAATCTCTTACAAATATAATACAAAGAAATACGCCATGTTAAGGTTCATAAAAATTCTTATAAAAGTATAATTCAAAATAGTAGATTAAACCAAAATCTTTGACTGTATTACATAAAGCCCTCAAAATTAACTTCATCTCCCATTTTAAACATTTCCATCTTTTTCTAAATATTTATTTCAAACACTGAGTTTGCTTCCTTAATTGCATGTCATATTTTCAGGGGAGTGAGCTTCCCCTCATGCATCTTCAAGCAGACACCTGCATATCTATGAGCAAGAGAAGCATTCAAACACCTGCTATGAACCTTTTTTCCAGGGAAAGTTTAGCAGAGAATCTCTTTAACACCTATGATTAAAAAACATTTTACCAGGAATCTCTTATTGATTCAGATCCTAGCTGAAGCCCCCAATCAGCTTTATCCGAAATGAAGCTCTTCAGACTTCTAATTATAACACAATTTTCATTTGCCCTTTAAGGAATTACAATGCATCAGGATACAATTTTCTCTCCTGAGTGCTTGCCTCCACATTATTAATACTTTCTCAAAGTTGCAGCCAAAACAGCTCATTTCAAAAATTCAACAAAGACGCCTTGCCAGGGTTAGCAAAATCTGGCAACTCATTCCTTTAAATGCTTTTGCACTCCCAAACTTGAGGGCAAAGGTATAAGAAATAGAGGCAGGGAGGTGAAGCTGAAATTGTAAAAGAAGGAAAATAATGAAACAAAGAAGCTGAGGAACAACGCTCTTCAATAAATCAAATTATCCAAGTCCAAAACTGGAGGGGAAAAAAAAAAAAAGAAAACCAATTCTCTAATACTTAATAACAACTTACAAAGCCATAGCAGAGAGCCCCAGCAATACTCTCACAGAGCTGTGGCATCACTCAGGTTGGAAGGGACCTTGCTGGACCTACAGTTCAATCTTTGCTCAAAGCAGGGTCAGTCCACAACTCAGATCAGATTTCTCACAACTTTGTCCATTTGGGTCCTGAAAAGCTATATAAACTGGAGAGTGCACAACTCTGGAGGTCCAAAGCTTAATTACCCTCTTGGCAAATTTATTTTTCCTTGAATCCAGGCAGATCCTCCCCAGTTCCAGTTTGAGCATTACCTTTTTCATGCCACTGTGAACCTCAGTATGTTCTCTGCCTCCTCCTCTTTTGTCTTCCAAGTTTCAGAAATAATGCCAAGATCAGGCAAGTTGCTGTCGGGAAAAGGAAAAAAGAAAGGACATTAAAACTGGATTACTATAGAGACTGGGTGGAGGAATTACATGAAATAAACTGCAGCAACAGCAATCCAATAAACAGCTAAGGTGAGAATAGAGTAAATAACCATGAGAATTGGGAGTCAAATTCTATAGCCTGGTGTCTCCAACACAAAACATGGTGCAGCACTGTAAGTAGAGACAAAAGAGATGAAGTAAGTCTAATTAACTTACTTAATTCTTACCTCAATTAGGTATTACTAGCTTTCCAGCTTCAAGGTATTCTTGTAATGCAGTTTTCTGTAATAATGAACAATATACCTATTTAACTGATTTTGATGCAAGAGAACTGATAGATTAGAAGTGCAGTCATGAAAAGCCCATAACATACAAGTTGTGATGACTGCTGTGGCATATGCCATAGTTTTCAGGTCTGAATTTCTCTTTAGTAACATTAATTTCCCAATGCGTGACCATATTTTCAGGTACTTTCTGAGATTGGCCATTGTATAAGTAGCTAAAACCTTTTCCATGCAGACCCTTTTCAAAATCTCATTACTGAAAATAGGAACAGTTCAACTGATGTGGATTGAAATCCTTGGACTTTACAAGTACATCATATTTCTGAATGCATAAAGCTACAACTCAGCAGGTACTTAGGTATGTGCATGCTAATTGCATTCTAATAGTACTTTGGATATCAGTGGAATTGACAATATTTTTGAAATGAATCATCCACATGCTCAAAATGCCAAGTATGCATTATGTGTGATCAGACTAAACTCAGAGGAAAAAGGGACATGAACAGCCAGAAGCATGATAAGGACATTAACATCTTACAGGCATTACAAACAGAAGTAAAGAGACAGAAGGATATTAGTAAGTGGTTACAAAAACACTTCAAAAACACATAATCAAGATGCACATAAAGCTTATAGAAAGCTTTTCATTCTCTTTTGCCCCAAAGAGTCAGCAAGAACTTATGTGCTTCTTGAACTGGTAGTTTAGTGGCACATGGGATCTTGCCTTTGAAACAATTAATTAATTAGAGAACAATTCAGTATCAGATCCTACTCCTGAATGAAGCTGAAAGCAGTGGAAGAGAGGATCTGAGATCTGCTTTTTGCTTTTTTGGTAAGGAAGAATAGTGCAGGGTTTAACCCATGCTCCTTACTAGATGATCTCATGGGAAAGGGAGTTCCAGTTCACACAGCAAAACCACAGCTGAAATCATTCTGACCAATGATGGAACAAATGCATCAATATAATCCATCACATAAATGTTAGGACTAAGCTGGCAAAACCTCATTCATGTGAATAATCCCATCAATACAGAGTCTAGATTAAAGGATACACATCAAACCCCAGCAGAGGTAAGGTTTTAAGCTCACCGTTTTAGAGAGAGATAATGTTCATATAAACATCCAAACTTCTGGGACATTCATTAGAATCAAAGTGCAAAGCTCTCAGGGTCTGACCATTAATATGCTGGCACACAGCAATCTCTGTGAGGCAATCAAGCTCTTTTTCAGAATTATATGATCATCCCTACATATACGCCACTTCTTAAATTTTTCAAAAGCTTTCTTGCTTTTGATTTACTGCTTTTCTTCTGGGGTTTATCAACTGCTTTTAGCTTCCTGGCACACTCCCAGACTCATCCGAGTAGTAGCATGAACCCAGTGATCTTGGCATCTAGAATTCTACCTTTAAAAAGCTAAATACCTTTGTTAGTGTCATGGTGGATTCAAGCTTTCAATACAAACTTTCTCTCTCCTGTAGAGCACACACTCACAGGAATAACCACACTCCCAGTGCAAAGCACACACACAGAAATAACCATGCCCCCAGTGCAGAGCTCACACCAGTGACACAATTGCTTTTTTTGCTGTGCCACACTTAACCTCACTGTTTTAAACCTGTGTTTCCTATATACAATGGTAATTGCAAATGGCCTTCAACAGCATCTCAAGAACACAATTATATTATGTAATGATATCTGAGAATTAGCAAGACACCATACCACCCTGTTTTATCCATAAGTAACAGGGTATGATGAATGAGTAAACCTGGTCCTAGCTAATGCTTTTCTGACCACCAAAATTCACTAAATGGATGATTCTAATTGCTTCACAGTGTTTCTGAAATACTACATTTACAAAACTTTCCTTTTATAATCTATATAGATAGTGCTATTTAAAATAAAATGTACCTGTGTATGCTTCAGGCCTTACTTTAATGAAAGTCTACCTTTATTGTAGATATGGCCACACAGAAACCATGGAAGTGACATTACAGACCACAATGGTCACTTATTGAAAATGCTTTTTTTAATGAAAAACTGACATTTTTCTAAATTAATCAACCTTGAACTTATCAACAGGTAAAACATTAATCTCTCCTTTGCCAAACCCTGGGGTTTGCACAACTGTGGATTTTTGTGTAAGTTTTCATTGAACTCTTTAGATAATTTAAGAGATTTTCAAACCTTATTTAACTCAGCACACACCTGTACTGTTTCACCTTTCTCTGCTAGATTTTATTTAGGGGCTCCCCAAACCCGGAAAAATTAGTGCTTTTCCATCCCAAAATCATGGAATGCTTTGTGTTGGAAGGGACTTTAAAGACTACCCAGGTCCAACTCCTGCTGTGGACGGGGACAACTTCCACCATCCCAGGGTTCTCCAAGCCCCCTCCAACCTGACTTTGGACACTTCCAGGGAGAGGGTAACCACAGCTTCTCTGGGCAACCTGCGCCAGTTCCTCACAAGGAAGAATTTCTTCCAATATCTAATTTAAACCTTCCTCTTCTCAGTATGCAAATACGATTTGTACACAAGATCCATGTGAAAAGGCACTACAAACTTGAATTTTTTTATTTCCTTATCTGAATATCTTGAGGTTTTCCCAGCTTTGATGAGTTCTCCTGTGCCCAGTATTCAGTTCCCAAAAATCTTTCCCAAAATAGCAGTTGGCACTACTATAGTGGTGCACAGACACAGAAGCACCAGTTTCCATGAAGATCAGCTGTGTTAGTAAATCCAGTGCCCCAGTCATTTTGCTACTTAACCTGTTTCTCTTTGCAAGGGTAAAGTGTGCTCCTCTCTGCTGCCTTGAGGACACATGGATCTACAACTCTGCTGCACAATGAACGTGCCTTTTTCTGCCAAGGTTTGGGCACAGGTGTCAGTTCCTTGTCAGCCTCCAGGGCCAATAAACAGAGTCTCTGCAATGTAAAATGAGACAATACATTCACAAAGTCATCATCTTTTCCCAGAACATGTGAAGCTCCAAAATAAATGCATTTCAGACATTATAACGCGCTCATATTCATAAAGCTCATTGCTGTTTTTAATTTTGCTTGCTGCTTATTTACTGTTTACTCTCTTGCTTTACTGCCCTGGTGAAATTGTAGTTAATTGATACCCCAAATGGAAAGAGAAAAGAAAAAAAAGGAACACAATCCCAGAAATGCTTGGTCCCTAACTAATTCTGCCATAGACTTGCTATTGCCAAGATGGCACTGTATAAAAAGGTTAAAAGAATGTCTTCCAAAATTTCTGTAGCCTCTCTAATCTCTCTTGTCAATCTTTTAAAGTGGCTTTTTGGCAGTGAAAGAAGCCCTCTGCATTCTGTGACAAAACACTTTCAACAGAAGATGACCTTACAAGCAGATGTCTCTCTGATGACTGCAGCTGTCTTAGCAGGATTTTCACAGAAAGAAACTCCCTCTCAAGAAGGAGAAATAATGCAACATTTCCCTACAAGATGATTTTATACCCCTCAAAAAGATTGGATGCCCAGCAGACACTCACACTTTCAGCTTTTCAGGGTGCTCTTCCCACAACTGTCTCATAATTTTTGAATAGCATTCCCCAGGGACACAGAGCCCCACTCCTCCCATGCAGCACAGGCACTTGGCTTGGTTTTGTTCTGGTTAATGAATTGTATTCTACTTAGATGGAAAAATCTGTCTTGAAAAAAATCTCCTTGAAAATCCCCCTGACTATCCCAGTGCCACCTGTATCTGCCTCCACTGATAATGGTACCACCTCATCACATCTAACCAGCTACACAGATGCCAGTTTGCTCTTCAACAAACCCATTCTGTTTGGTGCATAATTTCATGAGGCTGAATCCCTATATCTTATGATGGCTTAAAAACTGCTTATCTAGGCAAATTTATCTGCAAATTCTCATAGGCTTCTGTGCATCCTGCATTGTGAACATTAAATGTTTGCACTCATTTTAGTTCAGACGCATTCCACAGCACAATATTTGCAAAAAATCCCTCTCTGGCAAAATTGTGCAGTAAAAACAAGTACAATCAACTGATAACAATAAAGAATGGTGCACGGTTGTTCATTTCCTTAGCAAGAAAACAATCAATTTAGCAAAGCAACAAAATCAATTAAATATCAGCTATTCCCCAAGCTACTGCTTGCTTTGTCCAACCTGAACTTTGGAGCCTTTCTTTCTGTGATGGCATAAATGACAAGAGGAAGATTGGAAATGATGGTCATGGTGCTTCTTCATCTTTCTCTCAGGAGCAAAACCAGCAAAAAGGATTTCTAGGGGAAATGTCATACAAAAAGCACTCTTGTGTCTGAGGGAAATTTACATTTGAACCTTATTGATAATAAGGAGGAATGATTAATTTCTTCTGTAAAAAGCACACAATAGCTTGGGGTTTGGTGCTGCATTTATCCACAGACAGGTGGGAAAAACCTACCACAGTGTGCTCTACCAGGCAGCAATCTGAAACCATCAGAGGAACTCACAATGCTTCCTATTGCAAATGAAACAATGACTGCTGACAGCATTTTTAGCTTTATGATTAAAGACAAGAAGTACTAAGTAGCAAAACCGTACTTTTTTTTTTGCCTATCAAGAAAAAAAGCTCTATGAAGCCTCTAACAGATATTGATTAAAAAGGCATGTATGAGTACTCACACACAGTCCAGGTGTATGAAGAAATCTACATGCCTACTTCATCTTGTCCACAAACATCCTGCTAGGTTATGTCTTAAAAGAGAGATACATCTATTGGCAGGTACCACAAACCATTTATCTGAGATGCATCAGGATTTTTACACCCTGAAACTCCTCAGCTCTTCTTCAGTCTGCACTACAATCATACCAAAATTATCAATTATTATTTTTATTGCTAATAACAGTTACAAATATAGTTGAAAACAAAAGTAATTTATATAAAAATTAATTTATTTATATAGTTGAATACAAAAGTAATTCCATCAAATAAATGGAATTTAATATATTTAACTTTTTCTAAAAATTTTCCTGTTTATGTAAGTTGTGATTAAGTCAGTATACTTTTTTAAGTCCACCACTAATATCACTAGTAAATTTTATTTTTGTAGTTCTTTTACAATAATTTTTCTATCCAAAAAAAGATGGGAATCTTTTACTAATAATCACCACCAGCTAACTACATTTTATAATGCTTTACTAAGTATAGACACTGCATTGATTTTTTTCAATTTGCTTTTAATTCTGTAGTTTTAAGTGAAAGGTTTTTCAGATTAGTTGACAAAAATAACAACATTTTACAAGATTAACCCATTCTGTTGGAGCATTCAAATTTGTGAGATATGTTTTTCCTTGAGAAATAAAATGCAAATCCTTTTACATGAAGAAGACTTGCTATGCAAACTGATTTTTCACAGGGCTCAATCCTCCTCCATTAAAGCTCACAAAAATTATTCCTCAGCTGCAATGTAACTGTGATACTGGAGCATTTAGAGCAGCTTTCTAAACCATTTTTTATTAAAAAGATTTGAGCATGAAACTTTAAAATATCCACATCAATTCTTTCTATAAGTCCTTTCAGATTGGCAAAAATCACACACTATGCTGTTAAGAGCAGCCTGAACAGCCTGAGAGTGTGAGGCAGTGAATGCAATGCTTTTTAACAACACATTTTCAGTTATTACTATAAAATTGTAATTAGATAGTAAATTACAATGTTAATATTCACTTTGAACAAATAAGTGTTTGTAGTTGTAGAATTGGGCATTATTATGGTAGCACTGGGACCTATTCACAAAGTAAGACATAGAATTTCTTCATAAAAGTTATTCTATTCTGTAGTTTTTCCTTATGAACTTGCATGAAATGCTGGCTTTTTATGTGCACTATTTGCTGAAGTCATCTTGGCCAACATCAAAATCTATATTTCTCTTTGGGGAAGTGCCAAAACAAGCATTTCTCTCATCTGGTTCCACTACTATCCGAAGAATATAAAGACATGAAGGAATCATTCCTCCCTGCGCAGATAAAAAATATTATGTAAATCAGTTGATAAACTCAAATTCTAACCAGTTTTACAGGAACTGTAACGTTCTCTTCAGTGTGAAAAAAAAAGTTACTCTTAAAATGTTTACTGAAATACCTAAAAACATACATAATATATGAAATTAAACACATTACATAAACATTTATGATATAAATAATAACAATAACACTATATTATACTTTAATAGGTGTGAATATATATAATATCTAATATATCTGGAATATCAATAATAGTTAAAAATAGAAAATTTCTACTGTGGTTTTTTTTTTCTTAGTTTTCCCTTTACCTTTTTCTCTTTCAATAGTTTTTTTTCCAGTTAAGGAAGTTGTTTTGAACATGTACAAAGTTTTTGTCCCAATTTGCATACAAAGAGAGCTTGAAAAAACCCTTTAATTATTATGTCAAATCATTTGCAATATGTTTTGTATAACCAATCTTTATACAAGCTGAAATTTGGTTTTAGAAAAGTGTTTCTGAAAGCATGTTAGAGCACTGCTCCATGATAATCTTCTGCAAATTATGTCATGGGCATGTAAAACACAATTTAAACTATGATCCAGAAGGTTTCATTACACATAGAACTAGCTAGCTCCAGAGTAGGCACACACAGAGATGGCCTGTGTACATTTGTACAGAGATTCCATGTGTACAATAAGTATCTTGCAGGGAAAGTGTGAGAAAGCAAAGTCTGTATTCCTTTGGGATGTCAGGAACCACCACGTTCCACAAAGGCATTGACCATACAATGACCACAGAACTGCTGCACAGAAATGTGGCAGGAGTGACACTGGACGAGGCACATCTCCACCTGGCAAAAAGGGGACAAAGCATTTCTAGGAGAATTTGATTTTAAAATTTCAGTGATTTATTGACTCTGCTCATAGGTTTCTCCATAAGTCCCAGGAGAGATGGATGAGCGAGCAGAGAGGAGGTAAAGCTGCCAAAAGGTGCATGATAAGTACATTTATCACGTGGCTCTGCAATTTATCTTATATGTCTCAAATTTTTCATATAGCCCCCATTTGTAATCACCATGTGAAAAATTAGGGAGGCATGTGATAAATTAAGTTGTGAATTGTGATTTCTAATAAGTTAATCATTTATCCATGCAGTTTACATTTAACTTCTAATCACATCTAGTCTTTCAGGACACAAAAGACCAAACAGAGGAAAACACACGAGAAAGACCAAAATGAGACAAAGACAAAAAATGTATCATCAATGTAAATGCATTTTCGTAACCTAGTTTCTGATCCATTATTTCTGAAAAAAATAATTTCAACTTGTCAACTGAAAGGATTCCAGAATCTCAGACAGCAGGAGGAATTTTGTGACCAAAAATGAAGTATCTCTTAAACCAAACTGCCTTTAAGTAGTACTACCACATTACTGTCCCATAAATCCATTTCCTCAGGACTTAACACATTCCAAAATGTCTTAGCCATTTCATTTTAAGATGCCATCCAACAAAAAGTTTCTTTTTTCTTTTATTAACCAGAGCAATCCTGCAATCATTAAGAATGTATCTATCTATCTCAATTCATCTTGTTCTTAAACTTACACACTGGTACTAATTGTACACTAGCAACCCAGTATTTAGCTGAAAGTAATGTATTAAAAAAAAAAATATCTAAGTGTTTAACTAGTTTGGATAAAATCCATTATTTTCATTAATGGATCTCATTTTTATTTTATTGGGGTTTTTTACTATCAGATTAAAAGCACATTTTTTATTGTTTTTCCTAATGCAATTCTGTTTGATGTGCTCAGAATGAATGGAATAGTTATTGGTTTATTTTTTTTTCTTCTTGCTTTTTTATCCTGGTCCTATTCCTATTATTTAATACTTTTCACATTAGTTTGATACCCTTTACTGTCTACACAAATGCACATACACTGAATATGCATAT